TTTCTTTCCATTTTTAACTTCTGGTTTTCCAATCTGTGAAGCCATTCTCGAATATGAGATTATTATTTTTTCGTTTTTTGTTTTAAGAAGAAAGAACCGTTTAGTTGGTTTGAGGTGAGAGGACCCGATTTTTCTTGCTAAGAGGGGAATCTGATTCTTTTTTAAAGAAGAGAGGAGTGAGCTCTTTTTGAAGATGATGAGGGAATGCAGAAGAAGGGGAAAAGCTGCGGCTCTTCTTCTATGTGTTAGGTCTGATCTTTAGGTTAAAAAAAATGGGTTTTAAAAGGAGGGAAAAAAAATGGTCGGGTCATGGGTTTTTGGGCCTGATTTGGGTATAGGATTGATTGGGCTGGATTGGGAAAAATTGAGTGGGTCTTTAATTAAAATGACCAATTTCACAAGACAAAACATTTTCCCAATTCTTTCTTTTATTTTCTAATTTTTCCTTTTCTTTTAGTTAAAATCCTACAACTTAAAAAAAAATCCTAAATTATCCAAAAGTGTGAAATTAAACTAATTAGCTAATTATAAAATTATAAAAGCTACTTAATCCTAAAAGAGAAAAAATCAATAAAAATAGAAAGTGTAAATATGAAGTATTTTTTGTGATTTTCAATTTTTTTTTATTTTTTATTTATGAAACAAGTAATTACTAGCTAATTCTAAAAAAAAAATCCAAATGTAATGCATGATATTTTTTTGTATTTTTTTCATGATTTAAATAAAACTTAAACATGCACGAAATGCATAAAATTCTACAAAAATTCCTAAAATGGAAAAAAATTAACAAAAATCTTTTTTCTTGGGATTTTATAGGAGTATTTCGTATAGGGCAAAAATCACGTGCTTACAGTCGTCGTCGTCGTCGTCGTCGTCGCTCACTCGCTCGGCTCGGCTTCGGATTCGGATTCGGTCAATTGATTGATTAATTTTTTGGATCAAATTTATTTATTAATAGTAAATATTAACGTAATATTATTAAATATCTGGTTTTTGTAACGGAAAATTAATATTAAATCCAAATTATCCGTTTTTTGTAATGGAAATGTAATTTCCTCAACGTTTGAATTCCCTTTTAATTTGCATAAATGGCCATTTACGTATGGCCATTTTACATTACTGACCACTGAAGAGTTGCACCTCTTCGTTTAAACTCAACAGGTCGGGGCTATAAATAGCAGTCCATTCTCTCAGATTTTCCATACGAAAATATGAATTCTCCTCCTTTCTTCTGCATTGTTTTAACTACAAAGAAAGCAACAGTAAGTGTGATTTGCTACCGATCATTGTGTTTGCTAAAACACTGGGGTTTGAAGTACCGCTACACCAGTGTGTAATTTGTTCTATCCTGGGAGGAAATAATCCACAACCTCGGGTACTAGAAGGGGATTAAGTTCCTTAAGGAAACACTGTGAATTCTGTGGGCTTAGATTAAATTTTGTTTCATTTACATTTCTATTCATACGTTATTTTATCTTCTCCAGAATTATATTAGAAATACAGTTTACTAACAAGCTTAAGGAACTTAATTATTTTCTGTATTTGTGTTATACTCACTGTTCTGGAGACTAAAACCTTTGTGATTTTCTACTCCAGTTTTGGAGATTAAAGCCTTCGTGGCGATTTTTTTCATTGGAGATTAAAATGTACGTGATTTTAACGTTTGTCTGTGTCATTCTTTTACAGAAATAACAAATGACAATGGGAACCAGATTGTTCCTACGGTGACTGCCAATGCATTGACAAGCTGAACAACACCGACATTGGCACCGGCAGAAAAACCTGAAAAATCTTTCGGGATTGATTTCAAGCGGTGGTAGCAGAAGATGTTCTTCTACTTAGAGACATTAAATCTACAGAAGTTCATTAAGTAAGATGTTCCTGTTCAGCCCGACGAAACTTCAGACAATGAACGCTTTCTCGTGATTGAGGCGTGGAAGCATTCTGATTTTCTATGCAAGAATTACATTCTTAGCGGACTAGAGGACGATCTGTATAAAGTCTATAGTAATGTGGGAGGAGTCTTCAGGAATACAAGTGGAAACTGGGTGCTGGGCTACGTGGGAAGTATTCAACACACTACCAACACACAGGCTGAGCTGCTAGCATTACTAAAAGGACTGCAAATCGCAGAAGAAAGGCAGCTAAAGCCCTTGGAAATAAACACAGACTCCACGGAGGTAATTAGAATGCTTAACAACGGAAACCTTCTCTTTGACTCAATATCTTTGGATGCAGGTCAATCGTCCAAAGACTAGGAGACGCGGTGGTGAAACACAGCTACAGGGAGACAGAAAAAGTAGCTGATTTACTGGCAAAGGAGAGTGCTAAGAAGAACTTTTTTGATAATATTCTTGTAACAACAGTTCCTCCGGTATTTGCTATACATGCTTTTTGGACAGACATCATAGGAAGTGCTTTCTCAAAACAAAGTTTTGGAATGTAATATTGATAACTATGGCCAAATGGAGGGGGAATTAGTATACCCCCACAAACAATGCTACTATTTTAGCCCTAACGAGTAGTATTATTTTTAATGAAATGCATCCCTTTAACCAAAAAAAATACGTAGCATATGATAAAAGTTTATCTCATTTGGTATTTATTTTAAATTAATAAATGTAATAAATATATTTATTATACTCATGTATATTACATAAATGTGATTAAATATTATTATTATTTAATTTCTTATCGTTATAATTAAATTACTTAAGTTGGTGTAAATTGATTATGAATAAATATATACGAATTGCATGTTACTTACTATAGGAAAAGAAAAAGGGGGAAATACATAGAATTAGGAGGAATGCTCCAAAAAAGTGAATGCCGTAGTTTAAGCGGGCTTAATCACGTGGGTTTGCCCATTCGTTTCGGACAAACTCCTCACCCCTCCTTGTCTCTTTCCGTTCTGATAAATTTGGTCAAAAACAAAATCTCTACATCTAGTCTTGTTCAAGCTACGCACGCAGTAATTAAATACTACTTACGTTTCTAAGCTGAGTCAGAAAAATCTCTAACAGTTACTCTTCACTCTTTCTTCTTTAGAAAGAGAGGGACATTTTGATTTTGTCAAACGTCTCGCTATCATCCATTGAACTGCCTACAACTACAATCTACAATTTTCAATTCTTGATTGCTTTCACATCAGGAGAACCTTACTTCCATTTCTTTTTTCTTTTTTTTTTTCGCTTTCTTGGAATTAAACAAATTCTCCAGAATTCACTTCCTGTGCTTCATTTGCAGCCAAAGATTCACCTGAGTTGTATTTAGCTATAGATCAACCAGCTCCACTCTCTGCATTGATAAAGGGTAAGCTTCGCTTTTGCTAAAAAGGGATGACGCTTTTGTGCTTTTAATTTCCTGCTCTGGCCCCTTTTTCCTCTTAGGTATCCCCAAGATGTACTTTTTCGCTGCATTTTTCTAATAAAAGAAGTAATAATCATTTATCTTTCTGACTGAATCTTTTCACCTTTCGTTCCTTTTTTTTTTGGGGGGGGGGGGTGGTGAGGGAGGGGGGGGGGACTGTGGATTTAAGGAGCTTTTTTTGGATTTCATGGGAATCTAATGATTAATTTGATTCCGCCTGTGTAAACTTGCTTACAATTGTCAGGATACCAGTTACTAGTTTGTATTAAGTCATGTTATTTCGTTTACTTTAGGTCCTGTGTTCTCTAGGAATCTTTTAGTCTAGAAATTTGTATACCTGTTTATGGAGAGCTTCTAGTTCTACTATTTATTTGTATTTGGTATAATATTGGACGGAGATGTGCTTAGATGGAGCGACATGGTCATGATAATTCATATAGCCTATGGCCACTTGATTATTTACTTGAAATTGAGGCGTAGTTGTTGTTTGTTCTACTTGTAGGGATATGCCTATGGTTTAACACATGACAGTAGGCCCAAAAAAATTACTGTAACTTTGAATTAATATGTCTGTCTTAATGTTGGACACCAGAACCCTTTAAATTTTTTCAAACTAGTTAGGTTTAGTGGCTTATTGTCTAAATATTTTATGGAACTTTACAGGTTTGGACTCTAAGATGTTGTAAGACTTTTCCAAAATAGTTTTAGGTTTGATGGTTTATTATCTCATACTATTTGAAATATCTCATCAACCCGGACAGGAACACAAGTCCAAGATTCAGATAAGTGGGGGAGCTATAATGTGGCCTGCACTTTACCATAATTAAACATCATGAGGAAACACAATACTTCATTGAGGAATTCAGGTACATATACTAGTCCATCAACACCAGAATATGGAGATAACCATTTTGGAGGATTTCAGAAAGGCTGGAGCTCCGAGCGAGTTCCGTTGCCAAACAACAACAGCAGGAGGCATATTAGTGCTACTGCATTGATGCCATTCAATAGTGGAAGGGCATTGCCTTCGAAATGGGACGATGCGGAAAGGTGGATTACTAGTCCAGTATCTGGTCATGGCATTCCCAAGACTTCAACCGTGGAAGCCCCGAGGCAGCCTAAGTCAAAGAGTGGACCTCTGGGCTCTCATTTTTCAACCTCTGTCCCAGTCCAAGAAGGTGGAAGTACAAGTAATTTCATAGCAAATTCACCATTTACAACAGGTGTACTGATGCCTGATGGTTTATCCATTCATTATGGTCCTGGCTCTGGCACAAGATCTAGTGCATTATATGGTGAGAATGGCATGGCTCGAGCAAGCACTGCTCCTGGTCTGTCAGACTTTTTTACTGAGTCTTCTTTACCAAGCTCCCCAGGTATGATTTTCCTCCTCTTTGCATATATTGTGCTACTTTCTTCTAGTTCATATCCCAAATATTGCATACTGGCCTGCGCAATTGAAACATTCATGTCAATTATATGTTAATGCATCATTTTATACCATAATTCTACTACTAAGACTCTTTGATTTTCAATTGTTTATCAAATAGCACCATCAATATCTTCCCTCAGTATTATCAGCACAAGAACCTAAACAGTTCTATGGTCTCTCTAGGAGTGTAAAATTTTATAGGTTCACCTGACTTAAATACTAAGCATTTGAGGGTATATTGTTCTTAGTGAACCTTGCATCTAGTCATCAGATCATATGGATCTTCTAACGAGTGCGGGAGCACTTCCTTGCTTTGATACGAAATCCATCTGATTGGAAGCGATAACACCATATCGTTTGAATGCAAAATATAAGCATGAGAACTTGTTAAGATATGAATCAAAAATTTTATGGTAGTAGAGGTGGCAAAATGGTTAAAAGAAAACAGTTATCCACCCATATTATCCATCAAAAAATGGGTTGGATAATGAACCATTTAAAAACGGGTCGAATATGGATAAAGAACCATATTATCCACTTAGAAAATTATTAACCAAATGGATAACCAATGGATAACTAATGTGTTTAACTTTTACATTTGTAAAGCCTCAAATTGGGGTTCCTCAAGTTTGGAAGTCTAAATTCTCTCATAAGTGATCATATTTAAGAAGCCATGGATAATATGGATATCCATATTATCCGATAATATGGATATCCATATTATCCGCCGGATAAACCCGTTTTTTATCCCGTCTCAAATACGGGTCGGATCGGATAATTTATCTGTTTTTTGAATTATCCGTTTTGACCCGCTCATATCCGACCCGCCCGTTTGCCACCCCTATATGGTAGAAAAAAGGAAGGCAGTTTAAATTAATTATCAAAAAAAGGGGGACGTGGGCAGGTGAAGTTTCCAAGAGTTGATTTGGCTAAACAGCTTATGTAGCCAACAGATAATGTGCTATCTTTATCTACAGAGATTTCAAGTCAGGTTAATTTAGGCATTTAGACAAAATAATATGTCTAGTAGTCTTCATCCATATGACCTTGTAGTAGTTACTCATTCTTCTTAACACCGCATGCGCCTCCTGATTTCCATTATTTGAACAAGTCATGTTAGGTATTCTTCTGTTTACAAGTAAACATTTTAAAATGTATTGTGCATCACCTAGACCAAAGTATATATTGAAAGAAAAATGTATTCTTGGCAAAGTGTAATCTATTAATCTGTTTTTGCTGATGGAATACAATGGCCAGATGATAAGCCTGATGGCACCAATGAAACAGATGCTATTTCGTGTGTAGTTACACGCAGAGACATGGCAACACAAATGAGCCCTGATGGAAGTACACATTCCTATCCCAAAAGAAGATCGCCTTCAATCCTTTCTGTAGAGACAAATAATCAGCATTCTGCTAAACTTGAGATTAGAGATGTACAGGTAGACAGAGGACCCCCCATATCCGGACAATCTGAGAAAAACGGAGTAACGAAAATAAGGAAAGACTTGCAAGATGTGAGTGACTCGAATTCGCGGTGGGATGTTGCGGATGCAGCAAGGAGCATGTCAAAGTATGCTGTCATTTCATGCTTTTGATACTCACGTCGTGTAAAACGTCTCCATCCTCACTTGAAGAAATGACAACCAGCATATCCTTAATGTTAATTTACTATTTTTGCAAGTTTATCGAACAATTTAGACAGCTAGCCTATATATAAGATGGAGTAACGCATATTCTTGCTGATACTTATATTTCAAAATAACAAAAAGCTCTGTATATTCTCTTCCTACTCCAATTATATTATGTATGGTCACTAAATTTTACCAACTAGAACAGTAAAGTCAAGAAACTATCTTTTGTCGCTGAACTCTCTACAATAGTGACGTAACGAATTTCTCATATTAAAGCAGCTAAGCCTATCCGCTATTACAGTACATTCGTGACTTTACTGTTATACTGTTACAGGCTAATGTGTCAAAAAATAGTTTTATGACTTCACTGTTGTAGTAGATGAAGTTTGGATATGCATGGAAGCAGTACATTGATGTTTCTTTATTCCTGTATTTGCAGGCAGCAAAGAGAGGAAGCCAGGATTACAGCTTGGGAGAACTTGCAGAAGGCTAAAGCTGAAGCAGCAATCCAGAAGCTGGAGGTCTCTCGGAACATCTGATGCATAATTGTTTATCTACAGATTCCTACTTGTCTTTGAATAGTGCAGAACTGACTCAACTTCTTGTATTTCGGATCTCAGATGAAACTAGCAAAGAGGAGGTCGGCATCGATGGATAAGATCATGAACAAGCTTAGACTTTCTCAGTTGAAGGCTCAAAAGATGAGACGTGCAATATCAGAAGGTCGTCGAAGAACTTCAAAAAAACTCTTCCCTTTTCAGAAGTATTTCAAGATTGGCTCTTTCAGCAGTTGCTTTTACTGCGGTGTCCATTAGTTGGGCGATATTGTTTCTTTTTCGATGCTTACAGAAAGCAGAGCGCGATTTATATATGGTTCTCGTCAAAGCTTGGAGGATATTTCATTCTTGGTGATCAATAGAGTTAAAGATGTCATATGTCATTGAATTCAGTGTTGACCAACATGTTGCTATATATTCAAAGAGAAACACCTGTCTTTGTTGAATTTTGTAAAACTATTTTTGTAAATGGTTATAAAACAGATAGCAATGAGGGACTGAACATTATGAGTACATATCCAGAAAGGTCAAACTGGAGGTATTATACCGATATAGCAAACTAGCAGCAACATATTGAGACTTCTAAATCTTCATAAGAAAAAGATTTATGAAATTTTTTACCTCTGAATGGGAATTTTTATGGGACAGGGGGACCCTTTTGTCATGGAACAAAATAAAGGCATTAATGAAGGTTAAAAGAAAATAATTAACAATGCTACGGAGAGAGAAAGAAGACTATAAAAGAATAAAAGATATGCCTTCAAATTTATTGAATGTTGAAGAGTAGCACAATAAAAGATATTGTGCAAGATGTTCACTGTAGAGGGAGTAGATGGCTGTCATGCCCGACTATGCCTTATAAAAAGGATTAAACGGTCGTTGCAAATATAATCCGGTTTATAAGTCCGGAGTCGAATCCCACAGAGAACTAAGGCTTAGCTATAGTTGTTGACTATCACTAAGAAGATAAGCTTGAACAATTCCTAAGTTATAATTATTAAGATTCTTATATCTAATTAACTAAATAATTAAAGTAGTAGATTAGCAACTAAAGATACTACGGGTTGGAGAAAAGATTAAGGAGGTCTAGAGTTATGATTTCCCCAATTCCCAGAATCCTTCCCCCTACGTCTTCTATAATTTCGCCTAAGTATTCTCTACCGATCATGAGCGCTTTGAGTGTCATAATTCTCTCCCGAGTAACTATCACAATTTATTAGACATATTCTTCCGAACAACGGTAGCTGTGATATGATCCCATTAAGACACTTTCCATTTCAGTTGTTGTAATCGATTTTAGTTAGTAGAGTTAGCTGATGATTAGTGTTAAGCTGGTTCAATTAGTTAAGAGCAGTTAGAAGGCACGTGCACTGCACATGGGTCCGGGAATTAGTTATAACTACCCTTCCCGCCCAAATTGATTTCCCTTTATTAGCTTACATAGAATTGCTTTGTATCCATTCTGTTTTTGGAAGTAATACCAATAAACTTTCTCTTCTCTCTTCTTCTTTCTAAGTTCAGCTGGGTTACCAGTATCGAGTGGGCTGTTCAAGGGTAATTCTTCGTTTTACTCTTTAGGAACACTCTATTTTCTTTCTAGAATTGGATCACAATTACGGACTTGCATCATTGGTATCAGAGCGATCCATTCTCGGACCAATCGATGGGAGATCACAACACAAGGATGCAGGAATTGAGGAAAGAGGTCGATAACCTCAAGGGCTCCATGGATACTGTGGTCAGTTCTGTTTCTGATTTGAGACAGATGGTGGATGCAAAAGTAGCCCAAGCTATGGAGGAAATTAAAAATATGATATTAGGCAACTTGACATTGGGAGGTGATGCGCCATCGACGAGAGCAACCGCTGCTGCAGATCGAGTACCAGCAATGGTGCAGAACAGGAATGATGAGTATCAATTGCCAACTCGAAGTTATCAAGTCGAATTTCCAAAATTTAATGGTGAAGGGTTGAAGGATTGGCTATATCAGTGCGATCAATTCTTTGATGTTGATGGAACTCCTGAAGGCTCAAAGGTGAAACTGGCTTCCTGCAAACTGGAGGGCAGGGCTCTTCAATGGCACCAGTCCTTTATGAAGCATCGTGCAACCGGAGAATGGCCTAGATGGAATAAATACGTAAGATGTCTCTATGCCAGATTTGGATCGGAGTTGTTTGATGATCCTATGGGAGATCTGAAGAACTTAAGGCAGGTAAGTTCGGTGCAAGATTATGTTGATCTTTTTGATGAATTACTTACTCGAGTGGAGTTATCTGAAGACTATATAGTTAGTTGTTTCATCAGAGGCCTAAAACCTGAGATTGGATTACCAGTTAAAATGTTAAGCCCTAGAACTCTAGCTAAAGCTATCAGTCTAGCTAGGATTCAAGAACAGACCTTAGTGGTGCAGAAGGAGGTTTTCACCTCCGCACCTATGTTACCTACTCCCAGAAATATTCCCAGATTCCCAAACCCCTCAACCCAAAACAATCCCTATTCCAAACCTAGTCTGTCTCATAAAGTGACTCCTACTCCTGTGGGAAACTCTAAAACAATATACAAGAAGCCCAAATTATTAACAACTGCTGAAATGGAGGAAAGAAGGAGTAAGGGTTTATGTTTTAACTGTGATGAGAAATACACCTTTGGGCATGTGTGCAAAAATAAAAGACAATTATTCTACATGGAGATAGAGGAACAGCAAGATCCAGTTGAGTTAGAAGAGGAGGTGATGTTTGATGCAGCAGAACTTTTAACTATAATGGCCCAGGGATTAGAAACAGATGAAGAGGGATCCATTTTGCCTCTGGTGTCAATGCATGCTGTAAGTGGAATTCATGACTTTAGAACTATGAGGGTAACAGTTTCTGTCAAGGGTAAGGCTGTACAGGTCCTTATTGATACTGGGAGCACACATAATTTTCTAGACATCAATATTGCCAAGAAGCTGGGGTGTTTGATGATTGCTATTGCCCCTTTTAATGTATCAGTGGCTGATGGGAGTAAAGTGCAGAGCCATTACATTTGCAAGAACTTGGAATGGAAGATGCAGGGAGTGGCTTTCAATTCAGATATGTTGATACTACCTATAGGGGGATGTGGTATTGTGTTAGGGATACAATGGCTGTTCACATTGGATGATATCATGTGGAATTTTAAGAAGCTCAAGATGGAGTTCAATTTCAATGGTAGAAAAGTATCTCTCAGGGGAATCCAACCTCCTGCTGCGAAAATGATTGCTTCAGGAAGAATGGATAAGTTGTTAGCCAAACCTGCTGAACTTTGCATGATTTCCATGGGACTGTTTGTGCAAGAGAAGCAGACAATAGGAGCTAGCCTCTGTGCTATGAAAGGAGAGGTTGTTGAAGAAAGGGATAGTCAAGAATTGCAGGGATTGCTGGAAAAGTACAGTGATTTATTTGAGACCCCTACTGAGTTACCACCTTCTAGAACTCATGACCATAAGATAGTTCTGAAGGAGGGGACTTCACCAGTAATATTAGACCATACAGATACCCTGCAGTCCAGAAGGATGAAATAGAAAAAATGGTGGATGAAATGTTGGCTACAGGTATTATCAGAAGCAGTACTAGTCCTTATTCTTCACCCATTGTAATGGTTAAGAAGAAGGATGGGACCTGGAGATTATGTGTAGACTACAGGGAGCTGAACAATTGCACATTCAAGGACAAGTTTCCCATCCCAATCATTGAGGAACTATTGGATGAATTACATGGAGCAAGGTACTTTTCTAAGCTGGACCTTAGATCCGGCTACCATCAAATTAGAATGTTTGAACCTGATATACACAAAACTGCCTTTAGAACACACCATGGTCATTATGAATTTCTAGTTATGCCGTTTGGTTTAACTAATGCACCCTCCACATTTCAGAGCCTTATGAACCAGATATTCCACAATTGCCTTAGGAAATTCATCCTAGTTTTCTTTGATGATATACTTATCTACAGCTCCTCATGGTCTAATCACTTAAGGCACTTAGACACTGCTTTTGACATTCTGAGAGCTAATACATTATATGTGAAGAAGAGTAAATGTGATTTTGGAGTGACAAGAATAGATTTTTGGGCCATGTGATTTCTGAAGAGGGAGTGTCTATGGACAAAGTCAAGGTGGAAGCTGTCTTGAGTTGGCCTCAACCAAAAAACATCAAGGCACTAAGAGGATTTTTGGGGTTAACTGGCTACTATAGAAGGTTTATTCAAGGTTATGGAACTATTGCTAGACCCCTTTATGATTTACTTAAAAAGGGAAATTTCCAATGGAGCCCAGATGCTACTGCAGCTTTTGAGAAACTGAAGGCAGCCTTAACTACTGCCCCTGTGCTGGCTTTACCTGATTTTTCTAAGGAATTCACTATTGAGACTGATGCATCAGGAGAAGGTATTGGGGCTGTCTTGATACAAGAAGGCAAGCCTATAGCCTTCTTCAGTAAAGGGTTATCAGGAAAAAATAAGGCATTATCAGTATATGAGAGGGAATTGTTAGCATTAGTCACTGCTGTGCAGAAATGGAGGCCTTATTTGTTAGGTCGACACTTCAACATAAAAACTGATCATCATAGTCTGAAGTATCTACTACAGCAGAGAATTACTACTCCTAGCCAACAAAAGTGGTTAGTCAAGCTGCTGGGCTATGATTACACTATACTCTACAAAAAGGGAAGGGAGAATTTGGCTGCAGATGCACTTTCCAGAAGGGGTGATACAGTGCAATTATTCAGCATCTCTGGCCTTCAATCAACACTATTGGAGGAAGTCAAACAATCTTGGAGCAATGATCCCTACCTGGTCAAACTCATACAGCAGATCCAATCCTCTAAAAGCCCTAAACCTTACTACCTGTATCAGTCAGGTATTTTGAGTAGGAAGGGGAAAATGATGGTAGGGTCTGATGCTGCCTTGAGAAGGAAATTGATAGCCTATTTCCATGAGAGTTCTATGGGTGGTCATTCAGGAATCAAGGCTACCTTGCACAGGTTTGAAACAGGAAGTTTATTGGAAGAAAATGAAGCAAGTTGTTTACTCATTTGTGAGGGAATGTGATACATGCCAAAGATGCAAAAGTGAGAATACAGCTTATCTTGGTCTGTTGCAACCTCTTCCAATCCCTGATAAAGTATGGCAGGACATCTCAATGGATTTTATTGAAGGTTTGCCAAGAGCTGCTGGAAAAGAAGTCATATATGTGGTAGTAGACAGGCTTAGTAAAGCAGCACACTTCCTGGCACTTAAACATCCTTATACTGCTTTAGATGTGGCTCAGCTTTTCATGGATGGAGTCTTTAAACTCCATGGAATGCCTAAGTCCATAGTGTCAGATAGAGATGCCATTTTCATAAGCAAATTCTGGCAGGAACTATTCAGCCTGCAGAAGGTATCTCTCCTCACTTCTACTGCTTATCATCCTCAAACCGATGGGCAAACTGAGGTTGTCAATCGATGCCTAGAGTGTTATTTGAGATGCATGACCTTTGACAAACCTAAGGACTGGCCACACTGGTTGCCCTTGGCTGAATGGTGGTACAACACATCATACCACTCCTCTATTCATACCACCCCTTATGAGGTGGTCTATGGGCAGAAGCCTCCACCTTTACTACCATATTTGCCCTTCGATTCTCAGTTGGAACTGGTGGACAGAAGTCTACAAGCAAGGGAAGCTACAATTAGACTTCTGAAGTTTCACTTGGGGCAAGCTCAGAACAGGATGAAGGTTCAGGCTGACAAACATAGAACTGACAGAGTTTTTGAGGTGGGTGACTGGGTCTATGTGAAGTTACAACCATATAGGCAGCTGTCCTTAAGGGATCATTCTCACAGAAGCTGTTAGCAAAATTTTTTGGCGCCTTTTAGATAATTGCTAGGGTTGGTTCAGTTGCATACACACTGGCTCTCCCTACTGACTCCAAAATACATCCTACATTTCATATTTCACAACTCAAGAAGAAGTTGGGCTCTCATGTGGCATCTATGACACTTCCTATAGTCCATACCGACTCTGGCCACCTCCTTTTAGCACCTGAAGCACTCTTGGATCGTCGTTTAGTCAAAAGAAGGGGCAAACCTGCCACACAAGTTTTAGTCAAATGGCTGAACACTGCTCCAGAAGATAGTTCTTGGATAGACTTGCTCGAGTTTCAGAAGCAGTTCCCAAATTTTAATCCTTGAGGACAAGGATTATTTTGAAGAGCGGGGTATTGATATGATCCCATTAAGACACTTTCCATTTCAGTTGTTGTAATCGATTTTAGTTAGTAGAGTTAGCTGATGATTAGTGTTAAGCTGGTTCAATTAGTTAAGAGCAGTTAGAAGGCACGTGCACTGCACATGGGTCCGGGAATTAGTTATAACTGCCCTTCCCGCCCAAATTGATTTCCCTTTATTAGCTCGCATAGAATTGCTTTGTATCCATTCTGTTTTTGGAAGTAATACCAATAAACTTTCTCTTCTCTCTTCTTCTTTCTAAGTTCAGCTGGGTTACCAGTATCGAGTGGGCTGTTCAAGGGTAATTCTTCGTTTTACTCTTTAGGAACACTCTATTTTCTTTCTAGAATTGGATCACAATTACGAACTTGCATCAAGTTGGCACTAAGTTACGGCTCACTCGGATCGCACCAAGGTTTCGTTATTCCTAATCCCACCTTTAAACCCTTCGTATTGATCTCTCATATACGTTAGGAGTGATGTTGTTCAACAACTACCTAAATATGCACCCTCTTCCGAGTAATACACACTACATAGGCACAGTCGATTGAGAGCTATTCAACAAACCACAATATAATCGTAGTCGAACAAATAGAGAAATCCAACGGCTCAATTATAAAAAACATAACAAGAATTTATCCTACAAAAGGTTCTATCAAAACTCTAGATAACAAATTAGCTATTCATAATAATATGCATAACTACAGTACTAGAATTCATAATCAATAATGGAAATAGGAAGAAGGAAATGAAAAACTCGTAGAAGAATTCTCGTCTTGCTCCTAATGTGTTCTTGCCTCCTTAGGTTGAATCCCCGATCTCTCCCTCAAAATTGGTGTTAATGACTATTTATATGTGTAGGAAAAAGACCCAAACAAAATAAACAAGTCCAAAACCAAATTGAAGACAAAATAAGCTTTAAAATTCCGGACCACGCGAAACATCTCGCTCTGGTCTGCGCCTGGCGAGCTCAAACGCGCGAAACAATCTCGCGTCAGCCCTCGCGACGCCAGCTTAAACGCGAGAAAGTTGCCTCGCGTCGCTTGACTTCTCCAATTCGTTGCCTAACTTTTGCTTCAGCTTTCATTTTTGATTTCTGCCTTTCTCTTTCTCCATTCAATTTTCTTTGCATTCTTTCTTTTTGTCTCTTCAATCATTCTTTTGTCTTTTTCTTTGTTTTATAATACTAATTGTCCAATAATTAAATACTCATGAATTATTCTTATAGTATATAAAATAAACATTAAATCTCCACTTTGCTCCCAATTTCGTCTTTAACGTACCTACATATAAAATAGACTCAATTAAGTACAAATATAGTATAGTTTAACATTAAAGCACCTAAATGTAAGGTAAATAATGCACTAAAAATATATAATTATAGCCAAACATCAATGGCCATGACTAGTTAAGCAATTGGAGCTTCTAAATTTTTATCCATAGATTGCTGTTGGTTTTGATTCTAGAGAGTTAGGTGTTTGAACAGTAAAGTTGATGCTTAAGTTGGGGCATCTGTCCAGCTTTAGGAGGGTTTCTGTTTTTGCTTTGTAAATATTTACCCTTGATAATAAAAGTTTCATTTACCAAAAAAAACAAATAAATTAAAGATTATACTCCCTCCGGTCCAAAATAAGTGATTTTTTGGATGTTTTCACACAGATTAAGAAATTCATCTTTTAGCATTAATTAACAATGAAATTGACCATATTAACCTTTACTATCTCACATAAACACTCCTAACACATACTCCAACACTATTTACTCCAAGGACAATGTAGGAAAAAAATAATTAATTCATTCTTGAAATCCGGAAAAATCACTTATTTTGGACCACAAAAAAAGAGCCAAAAAATTACTTATTTTGGACCGGAGGGAGTATCTAGTTGTAATGTTATTTACGCCTTACACCTTATGTTGCGTCAATTAAACGTTTTGTGGAAATTCCTATAATTGTAGGGGTGTATACAGCCGGATTGATTCGGTTTACGTCAAAATCAAATCAAATAAACTATATCAGTTTTGGTTGGTTCGATTTTTCGAATTTTTTCAATCTTTTATTTTTGTTAGATGAATATTATTTCAATCTCACTTTTAGAGTTATAAATAAAGTTATGATAAGTGAATTTATGTTTAGAAAAAATTAACAAACGTATGATCTATCAAAATATTGATATAGGAGAATTTTTTTCGTAACACATGATAGTTTTTTTCTTCGTCTAACAATAATTTTTCGTTAATGTACACCTTTTAAGCTTAACCAAATTTTAATAATTTGAACATAAATTAATATAAAATCTAGATAATAATATGTTCTATTTAATTTAAAAATTATCAACAAAATACTATTTCAAATTTGAAAAAGATATAAGAGTTTAATAGATCTTGACATATGAATATGAAAGAACAAAGAGATTACCGCATTTCAATAATACTTGATAAGAAAGTAATATACAAGTTAGAATCAACCATTATTTAAAGTAAATAAAAATATGTGCACTTTATAATTATATAAATATTATATTTCATTAGAGTATCACAAATATTTCTAGATACTTTTTAATATATATAATATATATATATATTATATAATATAATATATTTAAAATTATAAGGTATATTTATATGTCGGTTTGGTTTGGATATTTTAACTTAATACAAAACCAAGTAAGACCAAACATAATCGGATTGTTTAATCGATTCGATTTGACTTTTCTGTTTTTTTGTTATGTTTGAACACTCCTATATAACATAATAAGAAATGTATAGTCTCCTAAAAATCTTCTTAGAAGTCAAGGATTACCTGGAACACGAGAAGAAGCATTCCGTTAATTTATAATTAAATTATCGAGGATCCATAACAACAACAGCGCCCATGGCCTAATGGATAAGGCGCTTGACTTCTAATCAAGCGATTGTGGGTTCGAGTCCCACTGGGCGTGTATGATTTTTGTATATCCTTTTCTATATCGCATGAATTAAAAATTAGAAATTTTCATGACTTTTTGTATTTTTCAGTTTCAATAATATACTTCTCATAAATAGATAGACGGCCCATTTAAGGGCTCCATAGATCAACCAAATTCGCTGCAGTGGGTTTACCCGGATCCGACTCCAATCTTCCAAGTCCTTAAACCCCTCAAATTCATGCATAAAAAGACCTTTATCTTTCATGGCGTTTCTGAAATTAGTTTTTAAAATGGCAGTTTCTTATCCACAATTTTCGAGTGTATCTGCACAACCTTAGTTCCTGCTATGATGTCTCACTTACTTGATTCTCCGGCCGCCAATGGCTTTCAGGTGACCCACATCACATAAAGAGATTTTATTTCTCAACAGTTCGTTTTCTGCTATGTACATAAGTTTAGAAGTACACCCACTAATAAAGTTCTGGTCTTTTCGCAATTTAGCATTTTTTGATTGCTTAGCTCGTATTTTTGTGTTTCTTGAATATTTAATCATGGATATGACTCTAGGTTTAAAGTATTGGATGCTAGACAATTAATGGAACATTGATGTATGGTGAAAGTACTTAGTGTCTGCTATTGCTGTAGTGTGAAATCTAATTTTTGCTTTACTATATAGCACCACATTGACAAAATAGCACGACTTTGGCAAATGATCATACGACGGAAAGCTAAAGTTTCAAATATGTCGAAAGCTGCATTGATGATAGGTTAATCTGTTTTCTGCTGAAAGGATTTTTTTTTTTATTTTTTTTTTTTGGTATTTCTCCGCAAGAGATAAAAGGGGAAATGTATTTTACTTGCTCTTTCATGGTTGGAGGTTGATAAGCTGAACTCTCGTATATTTGCCATGTAAAGTTTGCCCGCAATATTCTCATATCCATGTTGAGTTTACCATCGGGAGACTTGTTTAATTCATCTATTTTCTGACGTTTGATCTTATTTTAGTCAGCTGTCCCTATGTTATTTGTATTGAAACCAAGCTACTGTATTCATTCCATATTTTACGTCTAAATGAGAAGATACATTTAATTTAGTTCCTTTTTGGTTTGACAAACCAATTTCAGAATGTTTGTAGTCCTCCATTTAGTGGCTGTTTGTTGTCCAGCGTCCACTTATAGTCTAATACTACTACTATTGTTGTTTATTTTTCTGTTGTCGTTGTTTTGGTTCTTTCTCTTGTTTTTATTGCTCTAAGTTTATTGTTGTTCTCGTTGTTGTTGTTATTCAATTTTTTCTGGCTTGCTTCTTTTCTCCTGTTATTCACTCAATCTGGATGACAGTCGCCTTCTATCTTGGCAGGTTTTAAGACAGTTGACCAAGTCTAATATGTGCATTTTGAGCACCAAATCATACGGGACACGTCCAATTGCAAGACCTAGAATAGCCTGCAATATGAACGTAGTAGCTGGACAATCTGATGAACCTCACAAATTTAACTTGGAGAACATAATAGACCGGACAAGGAAATTGTGGGACAGCTAGCACTCTGCTAAAGTTGCCGGGACCGTATTATCCATATTGGGGTCGAGTTTTTATTCCACATTTTGCAAATCGGGCATTGTTTAGAACTCTGTGGTTTGCTTTCCTCTGTTACAGAAGGCCTAAGAAGTCATTAGAAAAGGCCCTGCCTGATTTAATAGTTGCTAATCCTGAACAGAAGGAGCTCTAACTTTTTGGCGACGAAGTATTTGAACTGGTAATAATATCTGTTTTCCTAAAAGTAGTTTCATTTGCATATTAAAACTTGCTGCTACTCGCGCCCTAAAGAAAAATGATACATGCACCTTTCCTTTGGTTATAAAAAAAGAAAAATAATACAGGCGCCATTGCTTGGCCAAAGGTGTTCTATGAATGAGAAAGGCGTTGTATTTGTTTGTGACATGCACTTTTGTCTACTGTAAGTTCATACATGCTCTTCTTTTTAAGGGGCAAAGGGAATTGAGAATGCAATATGTTTGTTGTCAGTCTGCTTGAATGGTCTTGCACATTCGTAAATTTTGTTTTGACTATTGTCACCTACGTTGCACGGAATCTCCCGAATAAAATTTACTTAAATAACTATGATCAACTCTAATGATAATGCCCGTATCAGTTGCATTAAGCTGATTTTCTGCCCTTTTTTATGATCTTTCCAACTAAATGAATGTCCTTTATATCTAGGCTGTATATTAATGCTTACTCAGAGAAGATGTTTCTCTTGACAGCTCTTGAATGCTATAAGCAATAATTTGAACTTCCAACTTCAAAGTCTATTTGAAATACATTTATACTTAATGTAAATGATATGATGACAAAGTCATCCAATAACTTAATTACACCTGTAATCCCTTTGTAATAGTCAGTATGGTTAAGGTTTCTATATTTAACCATTTGAGTATTTGGCTTTTAACTTTTGGATGTGGAATTATAAATTGCTAAGTATTGGTAATAGAAGCACCAGTTGTCTTTGATATTTAAGTTGTTAAATGCAGTCATGACAGCAATGCAAGTGATTCTTTGATTTGGGTATCAAAGTGTTGGCCATTGGAAGTTTCTTTTGCAAATTAGATATTTGCAAGGCACTGTTACCGACTGATGAAATTATTTTCGTTAGGGGCAAATCACTATTTTTGGCAAATTGTACCACAGCAGTCAATTGGTCTGGCTATTGGATCAACCAAGTTTGAAGTTCTTAGATCTTCACTTGTAATGCTCAACCTTGTGACTTGTGAGGAAGCGTCTCCCTTGTAGTCTTTTTATTGTATTGTGTTCACTTTACTATTAACCAGGTCAACTGGGAAAAGCAATCTTATTTCTGATACTAAGTTTCTTACAAACAGTTGAACCCTTTTTGTCAATCTCAGGCTTAAAATATAGGTTGAAAAATAAAAAACAAAGATGAACAGATAAGATTGGAAACATCTAAATCATCTCTAGAAAAATATTTGAATTAAATATTTGTTATGAATCAAAGAACAGTGAGTTGTTACAGAAGCTAAGAGGGGCATTCCCCTGTACATACGAAGCTATGAGGGACTACCCTTTGAATCAAACAGATTAGAATTGAATATAGAATACTGGCTTAGACGAAGAGTAAATGCCTAACAATATATAGAAGACATGTCTTTAACTCGTGAATGAATCCTATAATGATTCCTTGTTACTGTGTCTGCTGTTTCTTCTCCAGCCTTCAGTTCTGGGAATACAAATCCTTTTTTGCTGAACAGTGTATCGATCAGGTTCTCCAAGGCTAGGCCTGAGGTGTCAATCGAAATCCATCCCAAGGTGAATACGAAGCCCTATTAGAACACGTAGCAGCTCTTTCGTCTCCACAATTCTTCTGCATATCAAAGTTGAATGGATCGTTGCCACTGCCACAACATGCCTTCATCAAAGTCTTCATCTTGAATCCCAGGAATGCGTGGTATTTAAGAACAGCCATGAATGCTTTGTAGTAATCCACATATATGATGTGAACTTCAGGGTATTTCAAACGCAGCTCCATAATTGCTTGCCACAGGTGATCGTTGTGAAGCTTCGAAAACATATTAAGTCCTTGGTGGCATCTATGTTTTGCCAGTTGAATTGCCCTCGGGAAATAAAGTCCTAAAACCAGGAAAGCAGCCAATGGGTAGAATTCTAGAAACCATGAGAGTTTTGGCTCCAGCTTCGTTGATGAGTCTTTCTATTGAATTCTTAATTGTCTCCACCACTTCAGGCACGAGATGGGACGATTTTGAAATAGATTTCCAAGTAAGAAGGCATGCTTGTAGTCATTGATGCCGGGTTGATCCATAAAGATGAGCGTCTTCTGAAGAACCTTATTGTTTCTGCCGCAGTCTTGAAAAGAGAAGCAGTCTTCATAGAAGAACTTCATGAAGGTAGAAATCTTAGATAGGTCATGGTGACTGTGGAGGTGGTGGGATGCCATTCTTGAGGAAGAACAAAGGCTTCATGATGGTTGCTCCGGGCGTCGCAAAACTCAGGTCAGACTCGAAGAACTCAGTGCCTCGTTGAGTGTATGGTTGCGGAGAAGCAAACTGAGGGTTACAACAACATGATTAGCAGCTGACGATGAAGAAGAGTCGCCATCACCGAAACTGTATATGGAATTAAAGGGACCAACAGTTTCTTTCGTCTCGGTGAAAGACGGAACTACATGATCAACAAGACAAGTAAATAGTAATACCAAGAGAAACAAACGATGGCTGCTTCCCGTTGAAGCAAAGCAAGAAAGAGCAAATTGATAAACACACTATGGTTTGCAAAATTGTAAGCCGGTGGATACAATATTTACAGAGGTGCAATATAAATTGTTTCCAAGTAGGATTAGGAGAATAGCTATCGTTTTACTTTGAGGAAAGTATCGAATTAGTCACGTAGCTGTATTTCTTTTTCTTTCTTCTACTTCACATACAAGTCTTCTTCTTTTTATTAGAGGAAAACTTTTCATTTTCCCATTTCTATATTTATATAACATAAAAATTGCACAATATATGTAGGCGGTAGAGCTTAATCTCCCACTATTAGGTGGTTTCTATTTAAAACCAGTGAAACTAAAAAACCTAACATCAACCTTTTGATATTTTTCTTCTTTCATCAAGTTAGGAATTTATGTGGAGGACCAAGATAGACAAGGCTTGCGCACATCCTTGGGTTCATCTCTCATTCCTTTCTGGGCCCTAGTAAGAGGCAACATCAGTTCAATCCAAAACTCTAATGTCAAGATTGTGCATTTCTTTGGTTGGCCCAATCAAGCTGCGTTAGCAACTTGGACCATCAAGTGCTTCGCAGTCAATTTATCAAGGTTTAGTCAAGCTCGTAGTTACAACTTACAATTCATTATATTATGCATAATTATAGTCTTATGGAGCACTTGCTGCCACTTAGGGGTCGTTTGGTAGCCGGTTAGAGAGGAGTTATCTATGTATTAAATGTAGAATAACTTTATACATTGTTTGGTTAAAAGAAGGGGGAAGAATAATCTCCACGTAGAAGCTAGCATAAGTTATACAATGTTTGGTTGTTTTTTCCTCTTTTTCACATAAAATATAGCATTGCTAATACAATGTTTGGTTCATGTATTTTCTTTTCCGCATAACTAAACATGTATAAGTTATGAGGGAGTCTATGTATTATTTATGCAAGGTAGAAGGTGGAATAACTTATACATAATTAGTAATACTTGTATTAAAACACAAAATGACAAGAATACCCTTTATTCAAACTTGTATTTTTTTGTTTAAAAAAATATATTTAAACTATACTAACAATTTTAATAAAAATAAAGTAAGCTAATAATAAATAACACTCATATTACATTTATATTACTAATCCTTATATAACTACCGCATAACTAATCCCGGCATAATTAATCCATGCATAACTAATCCCAACATAACTCAACCTTGCATAACTTATCCCTGCATAACTAATACCTGCATTACTTATTCCTGCATAACTAATACATACATAACTAATACCTGCATAACTAATACATGTATAACTAATACCTGCATAACTCTAACCGGTAACCAAACGACCCCTTAATGTGTATTTTATTTAGAGATTTTTACATTCCTATACACTATATGAAACTATATTACCCTCCCTACTCAAATTTTACTATAATTACATTTTATATACCCAATTACCATTTATGTACATTTTAACTATAGTGTTGCTGGCAGCAATGTCAACGTCAATATTGACAATGTTTTTTCTCTTTTGAGTGTCTACCCTCAGCCTTTTTTCTGCCTCTTCAGATGTGCAACTCAACGTCTCTACTTGCTGGTGTTGCTCAGATATCATAGCTTCAGCGTCTGCGACAAGTGATGCATCTCAATCCCTAATTTCAGTAATGTAAAGCAAAGGAAAAGAGAGCAGCAATTCCACCATTAACAGCCATTAAAAAGTTTTGAAGCTTTGAATTCGAATTTGGGTTTTCAAAAATTATTATTTGTTTGATTGGGTGTTGTTGCAAACAATTGGGAATATAGTTTGGAGTTTATATCTCAATTTTGAGGGGTTTTGGTGAAGAATAGACTTGGTTATGGCTGAATTTCAGATTGAAACTCGAAGAAGAAGAAGAAGAAGAAGACATGATATACATTATATTTACGAAATTGTAGTAAATAATAGAAAAATTGTAGAAAAATTGTATTATGTTGTTTGTATATTATTCTTTTATTTATTTAACTATTGTATGAAAGTTGAACAATATTGTATAAATATTATATTTAAGTTGTATGATATTGTAGTTGTATATAACTGAGTAGAAATAATGTATGAAAATTGTAGATAAGTTGTATAATATGTAAAGAGTGGTATGAAATTTGTTTTTACTATATATATAAATCGGATACAAAATATACAAAAGACACATTGTATAAAATTTGTATAAAAATTGTATTTAAGTGGTATGATATTGTAGTTGTATATAACTTGGTATAAATAATGTATGAAAGTTGTAGATAAATTGTAGATAAGTTGTGTATATATAATTATTATTTATATATTATACTTTTATTTTTTCCATTAACTTCAACCAAATATTGTCCAAATGCCTGAGTATCCTTGCACCATTAACCTTTGACTAACCTATTTCCATCTGATTTTATGACATCCTTGCTACACCCATAACAGTACAATAAGATATCAGAAAGTTCAAAGCGTGCTGTGAATACTCACAACTATTTTTTAACTATCAATTCTAGGTCATATTGTATAAATTTGGTTTTTGTTATTGGGTCATCTTATTCGACATATTTATCCTTTTATATGACTAAGTTATTTCTCTAATTCAATGAGGTAAGCAAACAAATCAATAGAAAATTAACCATCTTGTCACGCTGAAATGTTGTTCTCTTCCCTCAAAAGGAGTCTTGATGTTTCTGCTTCACACAGGGAAGGAGGTATGTTTTAACTGTTGACCCCTCCCTCTCCAATTCTTTTGTTCCTGTTAAACAAGAGAGAAAAGAAATCTATAACATATGAATTTAGATATTGATAGCTGGGGTGTGATTTTATCTTTTCTTTCACACCCAACTTTTAAGATTTGAGAAATAAATTAGTCTCGCATGCAGCTGCATCTTTTTTCAATTAAGTGCTGGTAATAGGAAGGGAGAGAGGAGAGAAAGAAGGAAAGGGTGTAACTAAATCCCTTGATTGAAGCCACAAATAATGGATTGGGAGCCTTTTAAGGTGGATTGTATATATTTGGTAAACAAAACTTGTTTATGCCAGGTAATTAGCTAAACATGGACATTAAGGGTAATAAAGTTTCAAATAGTGTATATGTATGAAAAAATCCCTTTTATTTATCTGAGATGGTTCAGTATGCTATCAGCAACAATCAAAGATTTAATTCAGTACGTATCCTTGCACCCACTAGTTCTTTGTGAAATAAGTTATGTTTTTTGAACTTAGGGTAAATATATACTCCTAAATGATTTAGTTCAACTGAATATAGAGATATGCTTGTATATAATGAGAGAAATATTGGTAGAGCGGTTGTCTATAATGAATTTTGTCAATTAGCATGATCAATAAAACTCATAACAGCTTCAGCTCTAGTAATTTATTGTTGCCTAATGCTGTGGTTGGTGGCTATTAATTTGGTTTTGAATAGTTTTGTCGAACGTGTTTTAATTATGATAGGCATGTAGACGGTAGCAGCGTCGGCTAATTAATTGGGAAGTTCATGCATGGCTCTGCACAATTCAGGGGTATGTTAACGTGACTTGCCAAATTCAGGGGTTTCCACGCACTTCCCCTTCTAGACATGACTTTTGTGTGCACAATTTACCCGTGCGCACATGTTTCTTTTAGGATTTAAGTTACTCTTAATAAATGACCATTTTATCTTTTTATTTTAGTTCAAAATAAGTGTGTATTTATATAATCAAGAAGGAATTAATTTTAATTTTTTAAAATTTGCCCTTATTTACATATTCCAATGTGTCGAGAAACCAATTAATTAAGGTTAATTTAGTGAATACATCTTTTTTTCTCTAGGAGTTCATATTTCCTTAATGAGTGTGTCAAAAGTAAATTGGTTACTTATTGTGGACCGGAAGGAGTATACTATAGTAATAATGCTAAAAGATCTTCTTACATTAATAATACACTCTGGGAGTATACTATAGTAATAATGCTAAAAGGTCTTCTTACATTAACATACATGTAATTTAATTTGTAAAAATTGATTAATTATATCTTAATCAAATTACCAATTAATGTTTATTATAAAAATTTACTTGTTCTTTACCTTATAGGTCACTTGACTGTATAAATATTTTATACACCCGCAGTACATATAATTTTTTCTTATGTATGCATGGCCTCCCTATATAGATGTCCTCATATACACATGTGAAATGTGTGTTGAAGAAGGCATGCAGATTCGAAAATATTGTTAGAGCCCAATTTGATATCTCCTCTACACTACAGGCCCAATAGATACTTGTATAGGACCCGGAACCCATACACCTTTTATGTTTTTCTATTACACATTTATAGTTGTAAATATAAATACCTATTATTGAATAATAAAATTCAGATGGTTATTTCTCTCTTATGTTTCACTTTATTTCTCTCTCTTCTTCTCGACCCTTCTAAGGTCTTCTTCTTCATTCATCTTTCGTAGCTGTTCTGAGCTTTCTTCCAACATGGTATCAGAGCGGGAATTCCGATTCTCCGCGTCATAAGCTTCATTTCTAATGGAAGTTCACTCAGAGATTACAACGAAGTCGGTGTTTGGTCAAATCAGGAACTCCGTTGGAATTTTCTCTTTCTGGTCCGAAAAACTTAGGGCTTCACTTCAAAGCATCATCCAGCACACTCGTATTGAAAAGGAGTTGCAATTTTGCGAAGAAATTCAACTGAAAATTTCCATCGTTTCAAGCTAGGGTTTCTGCGATATACACAAGACCTTACTTCTTCGGGTTTTTTCAGAGGAAGGCTGGTAATATCACTCTAATTCACATACTTCAGGACTATTTTGATACATTTTTGGATTTGAATCGTATGAGTTAGCTATTTGCATGTCGTCATTTTTGAAGTTGTTCTCCAAAATTGTGTGAATAGGAATTTCTTCTGTTAGTTATCTCTAATTAGTAGTTACTACTAGTTATCTCTGATTAGTAGTTACTATGCGTAGTACTGGCGATAGTTCTGTCTCTACACCTGATGGATTTACACTTTTTACACTCGATCCCTCTCATCCATTCTATGTGCATCCCTCTAATAGTCCCGGTAGTCAATTAGTACCTGTGCCATTTGATGGCCATGGCTTCGTACTTTGGAGAAGCAGTATGATCACTTCTCTTTTAGCCAAAAATAAATTAGGGGATTTTAGATGGTAGAATTAATCAACCTAGCCCTAATTCACCCTACTACCCCTACTGGGAGAGATGCAACGACATGGTGAAAGCTTGGATCACCAACTATGTATCTCGAGATATTGCTACCAGTGTTATGTGTGTTAGAACTACCAAAGAATTGGACTGATATCAATGAGAGATTTGGTCAATCCAATGGCTCTAAATCTCCAGATTCAGAGAGAAATAAGTGGCACTGTTCAGGGGTCCTCAAACATTGCCACGTACTTCACAAAACTTAGAAGCCTTTGGGATGAATTGAACTCTTCCTATGTAGGGCCTATATGTTCTTGGGAGCCCTTACCAAGTTCATAGAAGATCATCAACTTTTCCAATTCTTAAATGGGCTCAATGACTCCTACTCCACCGTGAAAAGTGCTATAATGATCGTGAATCCCCTACCACCTATCAGCAAGGCTTATTCTCTCCTACAACAGGATGAAAGTCAAAGGGAAACTCCATCTATTGCTCCAAACTTCTCAACTGATTCTGCTTCTTTCTCTGCTTCTTCAACTCCTAACACTACAAATAGAACTTCCACACAAAAGGTGAACTTTGACTCCAGGAAGAATATATCTTCTGTTTCTTGCAAGTATTGCAAGAAACCTGGTCATACTGTGGACGAGTGCTACAGGTTACATGGGTTCCTTGCAGACTTAAAATTCACTAAGAACAAGAAGTCAGCCTCATGTGTTCAAAGTGACATTCCCCATGGTTTGTCAAGTATTTCTACATCTCAGTCTTCTGACAGCTCTCCTGATGGGTTCTGAACAATATCAACATCTAATGACCTTATTTCAACAAGTTCAAGTGTCTCCTAGTCCTAATTTTGAAGCTTTTTCTGCTGAGAACTCTGGATTTGCACACTTTGCAGATTTGTTTACTGCTTATGCTGTTAATTCTGACAATTCTCATGTATGTGCAACTTCTCAGTTAGGCATAAATCTTTGGATATTAGACTCAGGGGCAACTAACCACATGACCACACACAAACACTTACTTCACAATCTTGTTCCCTTACCTAAGCCTTTTCTGGTTACCTTACCTAATGGATATAAAATTAAGGTAGTGTCAACTGGTTCTCTCCACCTTAGACATGACATTATCTTACTTAATGTCCTTCTTGTACCATCTTTCCATTTCAATTTGATTTCCATACATTAGTTGATTTCTCAATTGGATTGTATAGCTGTTCTTACCAAGTTTAATTGTTCTTTATAGTGCCCTTCTCTGAAGAGGCCACTGGTAATTGGTAAGGCTGCTGGAAGGTTGTACTACCTTCATCCTGATGCTGATTTGTTTCCTGATTCAAACACTTTTTCTTTTTCTAGTTCTGTGTCATGTAATAAGTCTGACTCCACCATTTCTTCTGTAAATACTGGTCCATGTAATCAGATACCCATTGTAAATAAAATGGATCTGTTTTGGCATCAAAGATTGGGTCATATAACTTTTCATAGAATGAAGTCTATTCCGGTCATATCTGATAATGTTTCTAAACAATCTTTTATTTGCTCAGTATGCCCAATAGCAAGGAAACAAAGATTACCTTTCCCTGATAATCAACTTCACTCTACTGCCCCATTTCAATTGGTACATATTGATGTTTGGGGGCCTTGTAACTCTAAAACTTACAATGGTTTCAAATATTTCTTAAAAATAGTTGATGATTTCAATAGAGCCACCTGGACTCACCTATTATCCTGTAAAAGCAATGCCCTCTCTATCCTCAAAGCTTTTACTTCCATGGTTAAAGTTCATTTTCATTCCTCTGTTCGAACTTTCAGATCTGATAATGCTTATGAACTTGGTAGCAGTCATTCAGCTGCTTTCTACTTTGCTAAACAAGGGATTCTGCATCAAACCACCATTCCTTACACTCCACAACAGAATGGGGTTGTGGAAAGAAAACATAAACATCTCCTAGATGTGTCTAGGGTTCTTCTTTTTCAATCCAACCTACCCATCAAGTATTGGGGAGACTGTGTCTTGACTACCACCTACCTCATTAATAGAATGCCTTTAGCTACTTTGAACAACATTTCTCCCTTTGAAAAGTTGCATGGTCACCAACCTCCTTATGCTCATTTAAGGTCCTTTGGTTGTTTGTGTTTTGCCACTTCTCCAAGAATTGGCAGAGACAAATTTCAATCTAGGGACATTCCTAGCCTCTTCCTGGGTTATCCTTGTGGCGAAAAGGTTTACAAACTCCTCAACCCTCCATTTCTTCTGTTTTTTTACTCTAGGGATGTTGTGTTTCATGAACATATCTTCCCTTTTCACTCTTCTAACCATCATGTTCCTACTTCTCATCCCACACCTTTTGTGGATGTTCCTTCTCCACCTGTTTCTTCTCCTCATACTTTTTCCCCTCCTCCTTCTGTGGATGTTCCTCCTCCATCTGTTTCCTCACCACATTCTTCTACCAATATTCCCATTTCTCCTTCTGCCACCTCTTCCACACCTTCACTCCATCCTCCTTTAACTCTTGTACCTGTCCAGGTTGTCAGAAAATCCACTAGGACTGTCACTCAGCCTTCTTACCTCAAGGATTACATTTGTTCTTCTGTCCTACCCCATGTTCATGTCCCTAAACTTTCTAAGGTGTCCCAATCTGAGTTGCATATGCATGAACCTCAGTTTTACCAGCAGACAGCTTCACATCCTGCTTGGCAGGAGGCCATGCTAAAGGAATTTCAAGCTCTTGAGTCCAACCAGACTTGGGACATTGTTCCTCTTCCTCCACACAAGAAGGTTATTCCTTGTAAGTAGGTTTATAAGATTAAACAGAGGGCAGATGGTTCCATTGAGAGATACAAGGCCAGATTGGTTATCAGGGGTGATACTCAAAAAGAGGGTATTGATTTCACTGAAACATTCTCCCCTGTTGTTAAATTGACAACCATCAAGTGTCTTCTTACTTTGGCTATTAAGAGAGGCTGGACTGTTTATCAGTTGGATGCCAATAATGTTTTTCTGCATGGTGACCTTTATGAGGAGGTTTATATGAAGACTCCTCCTAGTTTGGATGTCTCTTCTACTTCTGCCTTTACTCCCTTGGCTTGTAGACTCAAGAAATCTTTGTATGGCCTCATCCAGGCTTCCAGACAGTGGTTTTCTAAACTCTCTGAAGCTTTGCACTCTAGGGGCTACATTTCTAGTCTCAATGACTATCCCCTATTCACCAAGTCCTCTTCTGGTTCTCTTATTATCCTGGCTGTCTATGTTGATGACATCCTGCTAGCTGGGGATGATGTTGCTGAGTTGGATTCCTTGAAGTTATTTTTGGACTCCCCGTTTAAAATTAAGGACTTGGGCACAGTTCATTATTTCCTTGGTTTGGAGATCTCCTCTACTCCTCAGGGTTATCTTATGACTTAGTCCAAGTATACCATTGACCTCCTAGCTGAGTTCAACTACTAGCATTTTTCTCTTGTGTCCACACCTCTGGATCCTTCTATCAAACTTCATTTGGAATGGGAGCATCTATTTCTAATCGTAGTTTGTATAGGAGGCTGGTTGGGAAGTTAAATTTTTTACAACATACTAGACCTGACATCTCTTTCTCTGTTCAACATCTTAGCCAATTCCTTCATCATCCTCAGGTGCCACACATGTTGGCTGCACTTCATGTTTTGAGGTATCTCATGAATGATCCTGCCCAGGGTATTTTACTCTCCAACTCTGCTAATATGTCTCTTATGGGGTTTTCTGATTCTAATTGGGGTTCTTGCACTATTTCTCGCAAGTCTGTCAGTGGTTATTATATAACTCTTGGTGGCAATCCTGTATCTTGGAAAAGCAAGAAACAACCTACTATTTCTTTGTCTTCAGCAGAGGTTGAGTATAGAGCTCTAAGGAAAGCTATCACGACCCGAATTTCCCACCCTCGGGAGTCGTGATGACGCCTACTAATGTGATCTAGGCAAGCCAATTATTGAACGGTTTACCTTTATCCATTTTTACACCCTTTTAGCATTTATAAAGCAATAATGTGAAAACAACGGAAATTTCAATAAGCGGAAGAAATGTAGTGAAATATCTGAAATATGAATCTAATACAACTGTTAAACCTTAATCACCCAGAACTGGTGTCACAGTACCACAGACGATCTAAGAGTGCTAAATACAAAGTCTGAAAATAAAAGATACACTGTTTCTGAAACAAAGAAATGAAACAGGAAGTAAAGGATAGAGGAGATGCCAGGGCCTGCGGATGCCTGCAGGTCTACCTTGGATCTCCGCGTGGACTGAAGGTAGTCACTCAATCTACGGTCCAAAGTCAGCAGCACTGGGATCTGCACAAAAGAGTGCAGAGTGTAGTATCAGCACAACCGACCCCATGTGCTGGTAAGTGCCTAGCCTAACCTCGGAGAGGTAGTGACGAGGCTAGGACCAGACTACCAATTAAACCTGTGCAATTCAACTATATACAGCGGAAAAGGAATATAGAAATAAACAGTCAAGTATGGGAGGGGAAACATGTTGGGGGGGAGATATCGATTCCAAATAGAAAGACAACAAGTAAACAAAAGAAACAATATAACTCGGATATCAACAAAGAATCAGAAATCAATAAATGCACGGCATCACCCTTCGTGCTTTTACTCTCGTCCTCACCCAAACAATCATATAATAAAAATGTGCACGGCATCACCCTTCGTGCTTTTACTCTCTTTCCTCACCATATAATCAATATAATCGGCACGGAATGGTACATCGTGCGGCACGGCATCACCCTTCGTACTTTACACTCTTTCCTCATAATCATACACGGCATCACCCTTCGTTCTTTACACTCTTTCCTCACAAAAACAATGCACGACATCACCCTTCGTGCTTTAACTCTCTTTCCTCACCCAAACAACAATCACAAATAATAGGGCAAGGGAAATAAATGAAATTGCAATAATAATCCCGGCAAGGGAACGATAATTCAACAACAAGTCCTGGCAAGGGAAATAACAATTAAAGCAACAATAGCCCGGCAAGGGGGCAACATAATGATCTCTTCTCTTTCTCACTTTTACTTCACAATTCACTTCGCAACTCGAGCCAATGCTCTAAAGGTTCAATTATCACTTATACCTTCACAATTCGTTATACAACTTGAGCCAACGCTCCTCAATGTTCATAGGTCACAATTCCTTCCACAACTTTACACAACAAATAGAAACCATCACCAAGGCATGAAAGATACAACGAAGTCATCATAATCACAATAGAAAGACTCACGGTCATGCTAGACACCAATGTATAGATAATCGTCACCATGCCTATACGTTGTACTCAACATTTACCACATGGCAAATAGGACTCGACTCCTAATACCTCAAGCTAAGGTTAGACCAAACACTTGCCTCGATGCCACAAACACAATTCATGTCTCAATTATCGCTTTACGCCTTGATTCCACCACCAATTCGCTCGTATCTAGCCACAAGTTACTTAATTACATCAATAAACGCTAAATGAATCAATTCTAATGCATGAAAATGAGTTTCTTAAAGTTTTACCCAAAAAGTCAAAAATCGCCCCCGGGCCCACATGGTCAAAACCCGAGGTTCGAACCAAAACCCGGTTACCCCATTCCCCCACGAACTCAAATATATAATTTGTTTTGAACTCGGACCTCAAATCGAGGTCCAAATCCCCATTTTTTGAAAAACCTAGGTTCTACCCAAAACACCCAATTTTTCCATGAAAATCATTGATTTGAAGTTGAAATCATGTTAAAAGATGTTAATAATTGAAGGAAACGAGTTAAAAGTGACTTACAATCGATTTGGAAGAAGATTTGTTCTTGAAAAATTGCCCTAGGGAGTTTGTGTTTTGAAAAGATGTGAAAATGAGTTAAAATTCGTCTAAGTATAAAAGTTGCAGGTCTCAGATGTGGGAATTACGAAGAACATCTCGCATTTGCGAGTTAGGAATTGCGAGTACAGCGTCGCATTTGCGACTCAAGGCTGAAATAGGGGTGATCGCATTTGCGAGCAAAGACAGGCCTGGGCTGTTTCGCATTTGCGAACTCGCATTTGCGAGCCAGGCTTCGCAAATGCGAAGCCTGCAGGCCTGGTCACACCAGCTAAAATCTGCAACTTTCTATGTCTAAAATTCTACCCCGTGGCCTATCCAAAACTCACCCGAGCCCTAGGGGCTCCAAACCAAACATACACATAAGCTCAAAAATATCATACGGACTTGTTCGTGTAATCAAATCACCAATATAACGTCATGAACATCGAATTATACCTCAAGATCAATGAAATTTCTCAAAACTTCTTTAAACATCAAATTTTGCATTTAAGGTCCTAATGGATTCCGTTCTTACCAAACTTTACCGACAACGCATATAAATCATATTGAACCTGTACCGGGCTCCAGAACCATAATACGGGCTCGATACCACAGGTTTCACATAACATTTCACTTTCAAAAACCTTTATATTTTTCTAAAAACAATTTCTTTCAAAAATTCATTTCTCGGGCTTGGGACCTCGGAATTCGATTCCAGGCATACGCCCAAGTCACATATTTTCCTACGGACCCTCCGGGACCGTCAAATCATGGGTCCGTGTCCGTTTACCCAAAATATTGACCGAAGTCAAATTGATTCATTTTATAGTCAAAATTTATCATTTTTCATAGATTTTTACATATAGGATTTCCGGCTACACACTCGGACTGCACACACAAATCGAGGTGATGCTAAAAGAGGTTTTTAAGGCCTCGAAATGCAGAACTCATTTTTAAAAACAAGTGACGACCTTTTGGGTCATCACATTCTCCACCTCTAAAACAACCGTTCATCCTCGAACGGACAGAAGAAGGAAGTACCTGAGTCGGGGAAAAGATGGGGATAACGGCTCCGCATATCAGACTCGGACTCCCAGGTCGATGCCTCAGCACTGACCTATTCACTGAACAAGAACAGAAGGAAAATTCTTCAATCTCAACTGACGAAGCGGCCAGTCTAGAATAGCTACCGGCTCCTCCTCATAAGACAAGTCCTTGTCCAACTGGACAGTGCTGAAATCTAACACGTGGGATGGATCGCCGTGATACTTCCGAAGCATGGACACATGAAACAATAGATGCAGGGCTGCTAAGCTCGGCGGCAACGCAAGTCTATAAGCCACCTCTCCCACTCGATCAAGAATCTCAAACGGGCCAATGAACCTAGGGCTAAGCTTGCCCTTCTTCCCAAATCTCATCACGCCCTTCATAGGCGACACTCGAAGCAATACCCGCTCACCGACCATGAATGCCAAATCATGAACCTTGCGGTCGGCATACCTCTTTTTCCTGGACTGAGCTGTATGAAGCCTATCTTGAATAATCCTGACCTTGTCCAAGGAATCCTGAACCAGATCCGTACCCAACAACCGAGCCTCTCCCGGCTCAAACCATCCAACCGACGACCGACACCGCCTACCATACAAAGCCTCATAAGGAGCCATCTGGATACTCGACTGGTAGTTGTTGTTGTAGGCAAACTCTACTAAAGGAAAAAACTGATCCCACGAGCCTCCAAAGTCAATGACACAAGCTCGGAGCATATCCTTCAAAATCTGAATAGTCCGCTCGGATGCCCGTCTATCTGAGGATGAAACGCTGTGCTCAACTCAACCCGTGTGCTCAAATCTAGCTGAACTGCTTTCCAGAAATGTGAGGTAAACTGCGTACCTCGATCCGAAATGATAGACATGGGCACACCATGAAGACGAACAATCTCCCGGATGTAGATCTCAGCTAATCTCTCGGAAGTATAGGAAACTGCCACAGGAATAATATGTGCTGACTTGGTCAGCCTATCAACAACGACCCACACTGCATCAAACTTCTTCTGAGTCCGTGGGAGTCCAGTAACGAAGTCCATAGTAATACGCTCCCACTTCCACTCAGGGATCTCAATCTTCTGGAACAAACCACCAGGTCTCTGATGCTCGTATTTAAGCTAACAATTCAAACACCGAGCCACATATGCAATGATATCCTTCTTCATTCTCCTCCACCAATAATGCTGCCGCAAATACTGATACATCTTCGCGGCGCCAGGATGAATAGAGTACCGGGAGCTATGGGCTCCTCTAAAATAAACTCTCAAAGACCATCCACATTAGGCACACAAACTCGACCCTACAATCTCAAAACTCCATCATCACCTATGGTAACCTGCTTGGCACCTCCGTGCTGCACCGTGTCTCTAAGGACACACAAATGGGGATCATCATACTACCGATCTCGGATGCGCTCCAATAATGAAGAACGAGCGACTGTGCAAGCTAGCACACGACTGGGCTCAGAAACATCCAACCTCACGAACTGATTGGCCAAAGCCTGAACATCCAAAGCAAGCGGTCTCTCACCGACCGGAATATAAGCTAGACTGCCCATACTGGCTGACTTCCTACTCAGGGCATCGACCACCACATTGGCCTTTCCCGAATGATATAAGATGGTGATATCATAGTCTTTCAATAGCTCTAACCACCTCCTCTGCCTCAAATTCAACTCCCTTTTCTTGAACAAATACTGCAGACTCTTGTGATCCGTGAACACCTCACATGCCACGCCATACAGATAATGCCTCCAGATCTTCAACGCGTGAACAATGGATGCTAGCTCCAAATCGTGAACTGGATAGTTCTTCTCATGAACCTTCAACTGCCACGAAGCATAGGCAATGACCTTGCCATCCTGCATCAACACCGCGCCAAGCCCAATACGAGATGCATCACAATAAACTGTATATGGCCCTGAACCTGTGGGCAAAACCAACACTGGTGCTGTAGTCAAAGCTGTCTTGAGCTTTTGAAAGCTCGCCTCACACTCATCCGACCATCTGAACTGGGCACCCTTCTGGGTCAACCTAGTCATCGGGGCTGCAATAGATGAAAACCCCTCTACAAACCGACGATAGTAGCCTGCCAAACCCAAGAAACTCTGGATCTCTATGGCTGATGCTGGTCTAGGCCAGTTCTTGACTGCCTCAATCTTCTTCGGATCAACCTGAATACCCTCTGCTGACATAACATGACCCAGGAATGCAACCGAACTCAACCAGAACTCATACTTCGAAAACTTAGCGTACAACTAACTATCCCTCAAAGTCTGAAGAACCACTCTAAGATGCTGCTCGTGCTCCTCCCGGCTGCGAGAATATATCAAAATATCATCAATGAAGACTATCACGAACGAATCCAAGTAAGGCTTGAACACTCGGTTCATCAAATCCATAAAAGCTGCTGGGGCATTTGTTAACCTGAATGACATCACCAAGAACTCATAATGCCCGTACCGAGTGTGGAAAGCTGTCTTAGGGACATCGGATGCCCTAATCCTCAACTGATGGTAGCTAGATCTCAAGTCAATCTTTGAAAATACCTTGGCACCCCAAAGCTGATCGAACAAATCAACAATCCTCGGCAGCGGATACTTATTCTTGATTGTAACCTTATTCAATTGCCGGTAATCAATACACATACTCATCGATACATCCTTCTTATTTATAAACAATACTGGCGCACCCCAAGGCGAAACACTGGGTCTAATGAAACCCTTCTTGAGCAAGTCTTGCAACTGCTCCTTCAACTCTTTCAACTCAGGTGGGGCCATTCGATACGGCGGGATGGAAATGGGTTGAGTGCCCGGAGCCAAATCAATGCAAAAGTCAATATCCCTGTTGGGTGGCATACCCGGCAGGTCTGAGGAAATACCTCAGGAAACTCACGACCAACGGGCACAGACTCAATAGAAGGAACCTCAGCACTAGAATCACGAACATAGGCCAAATAGGCCAAACACCCCTTCTCGACCATACGTCGAGCCTTCACATAAGAGATAACACTGCGGGTAGAATGACCAGGAGTCCCCCTCCACTCTAAACGAGGTAAACCCGGCAAGGCTAAGGTCACAGTCTTGGCATGACAGTCCAAGATAGCGTGATAAGGTGATAACCAGTCCATCCCCAATATGACATCGAAATCAACCATGTCCAGAAGAAGCAAATCTACACGAGTCTCAAGACCTCCAATGATAACTATACACGAATGATGGACTCGATCTACCACAATAGAATCACCCACCGGTGTAGACACATAAACAGGAGCACTCAAAGAATCACTAGGCATGACCAGATACGGTGCAAAATAAGATGACACATAGGAGTACGTAGACCCTGGATCAAATAAAATTGGAGCATCTCTGCTACAAACCAGAACAGTACCTGTAATAACTGCATCGGAAGCCTCAGCCTCGGGCCTGGCTGGAAGAGCATAACATCGGGGCTGGGCCCCACCACCCTGAACCACATCTCTGGGACGGCCGGCTGCTGGCTGGCCTCCACCTCTAGCGGCCTGAGCTCTACCTCCACCTCTAGCACCTCTACCCCCACCTCTAGCTGGCTGGGCGGGCTGTGGAACACTCGGTGCTTGAACCATGGCACGGGAACCCTGATGCTGAGAGCTACTCGGTGCTCGAGGGTAAAACCTAGCAATGTGATCCACATCACCACAAGTGTACAAGCCCTCGGCTGCTCAGACTGCTGACCCTGAAGACCTGAATGACCACCCTGAAAACTCTAAAGCGGCGGTGCACTGATGGGAGCTGGTGGTGTATTGTAGGACTGCTGATCAGAATGCTACATCTGAGGACCATGGCCACTTGAAGCATCGTGAGAAACCTGAAGTGCCAACTGAAAAGGCCTAGGAGGATGGCCTCTACCATACGAATCCCTACCTCCAGACGAGGTACCACTGAATCGGCCTGAATGACGGGGCCTCTAGTCCGACCCATGACCACCTACCTGCGACAGAACCATCTCAACTCTCCAGGCCACATTGGCCGCCTCCTGGAAAGATATCTCACTCCCAGTCTCCCTAGCCATCTAAAGACGAATCGGCTGAATAAGTCCCCTTCTCTCTCTCTCTCTCTCTCTCTCTCTCTCTCTCTCTCTCGGTGGGAAGTATGATAAGGGCATGAAGAGCCAAGTCGATGAATCTGGTCTCATACTGGGTAACGGTCATAGAACCCTGCTGGAGACGCTCAAACTGCCTCCGATAGGCCTCTCTCTGAGTGATAGGGAGAAACTTCTCCAGAAATAGCTGTGTAAACTGCTCCCAAGTCAAGGCTGGTGATTCGGCTGGTCTAGCCAAGCAATAATCTCTCCACCAAGTCTTGGCGGATCCAGACAAGCGAAAAGTAGCAAAATCGACCCCACTGGTCTCAACTATCGCCATGTTCCTGAGAACCTCATGACAGCTGTCTAGATAATCCTGGGGATCCTCAAAAGATGCATCGCTGAAAGTAGTAGTGAAGAGCTTGGTGAACCTGTCCAATCTCCACAAAGCATCGGCAGACATAGCTGCGCCATCACCGGTTTAGGCTACCACACCCGGCTGAGCTGCTCCAACTGGCTGAACTGCTGGAGTCTAAAACTGGGGAGCTACCTGCTTCGGAGTATGAGTGGCAGGAGTCTGGGCTCCTCCTCCAGCCTGAGAGACGGCTGGTGCTACAAGAAGCAAGCCTGCCTAGGTGACACTCTCCATAAGGCCCACTAGACGGATCAGAGCATCCTGGAGTTCTCGGGTAGCAATAAACCCCTCTGGGACCTGAGCTGGGCCTACCGGAGCTGCTGGGGCCGGAACCTTATCATCAAAGTCAACCTGAGGCTCCGCTGCTGGTGCTGCTGCTCTGGGCTGAGCTCTACCCCTACCTCGGCCTCTAGCATGGCCTCGGCCTCGCCCTTTTCCCCTCATGGGAGCTGCTGCTGGGGGCTCGGGCTGCTGGTAAGCCGATGAGGAAGCGTGCATTCTCGGCATCTACGAGAGAACATAATAGAAATTCAATCAACATTGAGAAACCAAACCGCACGACACGAAAGAAAAGATGTGAAATTTTCCTAACTCTGTAGCCTCTAGGGGATAAAACACACATCTCCGTACGAATCCCTCAACTCTACTAAGCTTGTCTGTGAACTGTGAGACCCATGTAACCTAGAGCTCTGATACCAACTTGTCACGATCCAGATTTCCCACCCTCAGGAGTCGTGATGGCGCCTACTAATGTGAGCTAGGCAAGCCAATTATTGAACAGTTTACCTTTATCCATTTTTACACCTTTTTAGCATTTCTAAAGCAATAATGTGAAAACAACGGAAATTTCAATATGCGGAAGAAATGTAGTGAAATATCTGAAATATGAATCTAATACAACTGTTTAAGCCTTAATCACCCAGAACTGGTGTCACAGTACCAAAGATGATCTAAGAGTGACCCGACTCTTAATCCCTCAAGCTAAGGTAAGACCAAACACTTACCTCGATGCCACGAACACAATTCACATCTCAATTATCGATTTACCCCTTGATTCCACCACCAATTTGCTCATATCTAGCCATAAGTTACTTAATTACATCAATAAACGCTAAATGAATCAATTCTAATGCATGAAAATGAGTTTCTTAAAGTTTTACCCAAAAAGTCAAAAATTGCCCCCGGGCCCACATGGTCAAAACCCGAGATTCGAACCAAAACCCGATTACCCATTCCCCCACGAACTCAAATATATAATTTATTTTGAAATCGGACCTCAAATCGAGGTCCAAATCCCCATTTTTTGAAAAATCTAGGTTCTACCAAAACACCCAATTTCCCCATGAAAATCATTGATTTGAAGTTGAAATCATGTTAAAAGATGTTAATGATTGAAGGAAACGAGTTAAAAGTGGTTTACTATCGATTTGGAAGAAGATTTGTTCTTGAAAAATCGCCTTAGGGAGTTTGTGTTTTGAAAAGATGTGAAAATGGGTTAAAATTCGTCTAAGTATAAGAGTTGCAGGTCTCACATGTGGGAATTGCGAACAGGGGTTCGCAATTGCGAACCCCGATCTCTGCTATGCTGGGAATTGCGAAGAACATCTCGCATTTGCAAGTTGGGAATTGCGACTACAGCGTCGCATTTGCGACTCAACGCTGAAACAGGGGTGATCGCATTTGCGATCAAAACCTCGCATTTGCGAGCAAAGACAGGCCTGGGCTATTTCGCATTTGCGATCCAGCCTTCGCATTTGCGAACTCACATTTGCGAGCCAGGCTTCGCAAATGCGAAGCCTGCAGGCCTAATATAACGACTCGGCCGGTTGTTTTTAGAATTTATGCCTCGATCCCCTATTAACTGCTTCCCCCAAGTTTATTTCTGCTATTTTGATTTGCCGGGATGTTCGGTTTTTAGTTTCGGAGAGTTTTGGGACACTTAGACCTTAAATGAGAGCTTAATGTCGGAAAGTTGGCCGTAGTTGGAACAGTGTGAAGATGGCCTTGGAATGGAAATCCGATGGTTCCGTTGGCTCCGTTAGGTGATTTCGGGTTTAGGGGCGTGGTCGGATTGTGTTTTGGAGGTCCGGAGCTAATTTAGGCTTGAAATGCCAAAAGTTGAATTTTAAAGTTTTCGGTTCGATAGTGGTATTCTGATCCGAGGGTCGGAATGGGATTCCGAGAGTTGCAGTAGTTCCGTTATGTCTTTTGTGATGTGTGTGCAAAATTTCAGGTCATTCGGAGGTGGTTTGTTTGGGTTTTTGATCCAAAGCGTATTTTGAGAAATTTGGAGTCTTAGGCTTGAATCTATGGTTAATTTGAGGTTTTGATGTTGTTTTAGGTGTTTTAAGGATTGTTATAAGTTTGAATAAGGTATTAGGTAATGTTGGTGCTTTTGGCTGAGGTTCCGGGAGCCCCGAGATGATTTCGGGTGGTTGACGGAAAGATTTTTGAAGTTGAGAGATTGCAGATTTTAGCTGGTACCTGTCATAACCGCACTTGCGGTTGGGGTTCCACAGGTGCGGAGCCGCAGAAGCGACGTAAAGACCACAGAAGCGGATGTTGGTGTTTTCTTCAGATTTCACAGATGCGGGAGGAGTACCGCAGATGCGGTTTCGCATCTGCGAAAAGGAAATCGCAGATGCAGCTCCTGGGCAAGTAAATGAAAGTCGCAGATGCGACGTGGTTTCCGCAGAAATATGAGATTTCGAGGGTTTTGTTTCAAAAGTTGAAAAATCAATTTGGAGCTCGGGGGAGGGCGATTTTGAGAGAGAATTGAAGAGGAGATCATTGGGTAACGATTCTTTAACCCTTTCTAGTTATATTCCATCAATCTATAGTTAATTTCACCATTTAAATTCGGATTGGGGATGAAAATTGGGGAAAAGTTGGAAGAAAGTTCCTAGACCTAAAATTTGACTTTTGATTGGGAATTTGACCTTGGATTTGGATAATTTTGGTATGCCTGAACTCGTGAGAGTATGAGGATTCTGTAAATATAAATTTTACCAGATTCTGAGACGCGGGCTTGAGGGGCATTTTGGTTATTTTACCTAATTTTGTGTCTTAGCTTATAATTTAATTATAGAATCAATTATTGAAGTGTTATTTACATTATGAAATTGAATTGAATTGATTTGGGCCATTTGGAGTCGGATGCTCGTGGCAAAGGCGTGGTTTCGGGTTGACTTGCACTTGTTCGAGGTAAGTGACTTGTCTAACCTTGTGTGAGGGACTTTTCCCCTTAGGAGTGGTATTGTGGTAATTGAAATGCCTCGTACGTGAGGTGACGAGTGCGTACTTGTGCTAATTGTTAGAAACCCGTTCTTTTTCATTAAAAATAGCCTTGAATTGTGTTCTTCCTCTTCTTGCTTACAATGTTTGGACATTAAACCTGCTGTAGCTTAGAGAAACATGTCTACTTGACTAAATTGCTCTATTTGGCTTAACTGCCTTAATTGTATTACGTGAATCATGCTAGGTTAGGATTACCTGCTTCACTTTGACATGAAATTGTTTGGATTGAATTCTTGTTGTTGCTGTGTATTTACTTTGGGACTATGGAACGGTATTCCGGGAGATCCCCCTGCACTTTTACTTTGGGACTACGGGACGGTATCCCGAGAGCTCCCCTGTATGTTTACTTTGGGACTACGGAATTGTATTCCGGGAGATCCGCCTGCACATTTATGCGTCGGACTACGGGACTGCACTCGGGAGATCCACTGGAGATGATATTTATATTTGGGGACTATAGGACGGTATCCTGGGAGATCCCCGGTTGTTACCTTGGAGTTGAGTTGTGTTCTCTTACTGTGTTTTACTTGCCTCTGTGATAGTTGTTGCTGTCCTTTATATCTTGTGTTACTTACTTACACT